ATGAGACATAAAATTATATCTATTTCTATATTACACAGTAAAAATATGTTTATATTTATATGTATAATATACCATATTATGTAACCATATATTTGTATAAAATATTAAATATATAAATGTATAATTATAAATAGATAACATACATTATTAAATAAAATAACATGAATATTTATATTTTAGTGTATAACTATATAAATACAATTATATATATTAACTTATATAAAATTTATATATCTGTATCTAAGATACTTAGCAAAGCATCAGGACTATAGTATACGCTTAACAAACTTAACAAATTTTAATTAGATAAAATAATATTGTACATATTATCTGAAACATACTTTCTAAATCTACTTAGTAAAACAGCCACAATTCTTGGAACAGACATCAAAACTCTTAGGCTACTGACCTTCTCAACTATAACAATAACAGAATTAGAAAAAAATATAAATAAATTTAATTGATCAACGAATAAAAGAAATCTCAAACACATTATAATAACTTTGTTATTCTACCAGAAGTTGGATCAGTTAATTCTGGGACTCGTTTTTATGCCATAAGGGTGAATTACTGCCGGTCGCGTGCAGTGGCTCAAGTCTGCAATCCCAGCACTTTAGGAGGCTGAGGTGGGCAGATCACAAGGTCAGGAGTTCGAGACCAGCCTGGCCAACATGGTGAAATTCCGTCTCTACTAAAAATACAAAAATTAGCTGGGCATGATGGTGGGTGCCTGTAATCCCAGCTACTCAGGAAGCTGAGGCACGAGAATAGCTTGAACCCAGGAGGCGGAGGCTGCAGTGAGCCAAGATTGAGCCACTGCACTCCAGCCTGTGCAACAGAGTGAGACTCCATCTCAAAAAAAAAAAAAAAAAAAAAAAAAAGGAAATACTTATAGAAGGACATGATTTAATAAACTAAATTACAAACAAATAAAAAAATCACATATACTGTTTTAAATATATCCAGAAAATGGTTATTTAGTATTAGATTTGTAAGGAAAACAACTCTAGGTTCTCTGGCTTTCAAACTGAAGCTGTCTGTATGCCCCAGTATTTCATGTAGCTGAACTGTGGGAGAACGCAACATTGCCATTTCCTTGGTTGAAACAGAAAATCTTAAAGACATATAATCTACCTTAAAATTACAACCCTTGTGTCAAGTGAAGCCATGATTTTCAACTGAGATCATAACAGAGATAAACTATTGAATATTTGGTCCTAATATAAAATTTATTCACTATTCCATCAATTCTCCTTTAGGTTAGTAAACTAATAGTAGTATTGAAATTAATTCCTTTTGTAATGAGATCTCCTTTATTTTATAATGAGATGGGCTTATTTGGCAATAAGGTCTTTTCATGGTTTCAAACACATGTGAGTTGTGCTAAAATCTAGCATTGTTTTCAAGTGTTACCTTGAACTTCCTTCTACATACTAACAATATGAAAAATCACCTCAAGGGTGAATGGTGCACTTCATTAACACAAGCCTTTTAGAGTTTTCAAAGAATGGTATTCAAACTGTAGTACAGTATGTCTTACAACAAGGGAAAGCAAACTGGGAAATTTGTAAAACCTCACAGATAGAAGAGACATGAGCCCCATGTGAATAATACAACCATGTAGAGAAACAAGCATATTATTAGCAAAAATATTTGTCCTATATACAGGTCTATGTGAATTTAACATGCGCTGGTAAGCTCTTCTTATATCTGGGCTACCTATGATACGTTCATATATTTAAATTTCAATTATACACTGAAAACTATAAAATATTTTCCTTTGGGTGTAATAAACATTTAAAAGGCTCTTTATATATGTAGACATACGTATACATGCAGACATACTTTTTTGATAAAACAAGGGAGATATTTTAAAATCAATGAACCTACATTTTAAAATTCTTTAGAAATATGCTTTCCATAGAAGCCTATCCATAAATAAGTCACTATCAATTATTTACACAGCCATAAGTGATAACAGAAGTTGAATTCATAAGGTATAGCAGTCATACCAGAACCCCCATTTGGTCATCTTAAAAAGGCCTTAATAAAAACAGATTAATTACTGCAAAATAAGAGCTATTAGAATCCTAAAGGCATATATGCATTTAGTCTCAAGGGCCGAATGGAAAGACCTCATCTAGAAGGCAAGCTCAGTCTCTCTGCTGATGTGAAATAAACTAGCCAACAGCCTGGTAGGCCTGTGAGCTTCATGTAAACAAACATCTGTTGGAAAAAAGTATCTTATTTTCTGTGGCTGACTGTGTTTGTAAAGAGAATTTAGGGAGTAGACTGAAATATTTGATGTCACAGCTAGCTGGGGCCCTCAGAGTAATAGTCAGGATTCTTTTATTACTTAGGTAAAAACCAGTTCAGGCTTCTGGCAAATGGCTATTCGGGGATATTTCAACAAGGTTTGTGATTTGAAGTTCTTCCAGACATTTCCAGTGTAATGCTAATCGGGATTCACACTGCTTGAAATCATATATGTGAATGATGTTCCTCTGGGCTCTACAACACCCACTTATTATGCAGCAAACTGTAAAGAAGCTGTGAAAACACTGTGTTTTGGCCACAACTTTTCCCATAACTAAAGTGTACATTTCTTTTAATCCAGAGCTGGTGGTACTGAATATGTTATTTTAAATCAGTCATAGCACTTTGCTTGAAGTTATATTTTAATGCTATTTTCTTAAAAAAAAATGCTTCCTTATGTTATACAGAAGCTGTCAGATACTGTCTTTCTTTCTTGATTTTCATGTTTTGTCATCAAATTATTTTGACTGGAATTTCAGGCTAATCATGGATATATATGAAACCCTAGAATGACTAGAAACAAACTGGTAAGAGAACACCGGACAAAATTTGAAAAGATTAAAAAGATTTTCTATGCTTTCCTGAGTTATATGCAAGCATTTAAACATATAAAACTACACAGGGATTTCTGCATCTCCCAAGCATGGCATCGAGCACATAAGAACTACCATACTGACAATTCTTAAAACAGCTCATTAATTATCTGGATTCAGAAGTTTCAGAATGTATTGCTATTACTATTAGCAAATCTGCTATCAACTGAGGTTTTAGCTTAAAAAAATTTTGAAATAAGACAAAAGTTCATATAGGAAAACTTCTGATATTCACAAATATGAGACAAAAATAGTGCTTATCAGATATGTGTGTTGAGTTTAATACAGACATTGGCTATTCTTCCCTCCTTTTGCCTAGTTGTCCACTCAAATCCATCCATCCATCCATCCATCCATCCATCCATCCATCCATCCATCCATCCATCCATCCATCCATCCCCAACTATCCATCTAAGAAACACATGCTCGGCACTCTGTTGGACACCTCAGTAGGCCTTTGGGAGATGATTAGATTATGCAGGTGAAGCCCTCATGAAAGGGATTGGTTTCCTTACAAAACAGATCCCAGAGTACTCCTTTGCCCCCACAGTATGAAGGCGGTTATCTATGAACCCGGAAGAGGGTCCTCACTAGACACTGAATGTTGGTACTTCTTGGATCTTGGACTTCCCAGCTTCCAGAACTGTGAGACATATATGTTTGCCGTTTAGGCAGTCCAATCTATGGTATTCTGTTATAATAGCCTGAACTGACTAGGACAAGCAGTGAACCAAACAACATTCTTATCTTCAAAGTGTTAATACTTGAGCAGACGAGAAAGACAACCAACAGTCAAGCAAATGAATTTTGAATAACAAAATTTTAGGTAGTGATGGGTACTATGAAGAAAAAGCAAAAAAGGAAAGAAAATGACGGCAGAAGATAGGGGCTACTTAGATATGTTCAGGGAAAGCCTCCTCGAGAAGCAAAGAAGCAGTATTCTGTTATTAATAGTTATGAGTATGACTTGTATTTATGGAAATGGTACATCCTTCTATTTGATGGCTGTCAGTGGAACACTGGTTGGAGGCCTAAATAAGCTAAGAAAATGAATAGTTTGGTGCCAGTATTAATTCCACGGAGATTTCCATAAAACAGCATTTCAATGTACAAAGAGATTTTCCCCATTTCCCAAATCTAAGACAAAATGAAAGTTAGATAATGAATACATTCTGAATCAACGAAGTGGCTCCACTGAGTGATCAAAGATAATATTAAGCTTGATATTTTTCTTTTCCATGAGGCAGTTTTGTAGCCATTCCTCTCACAATGCAAGCTTCATAAGCAAAATGCAAAGATGATCAAAATACTTTCTTAGGTGGACAACATTCATTAAATTATATAATGAATAAGAAGGTGCTCTGAAAAGCATAAAAGCACTATGTAACAATAAGGGATTATTGTTACTGTTATTAGCCAACTCACCTGAACACGAAGGAAGCTGATCATAGTCCTGTGATGTTCTGTTAGTTTTGATATTTTCACCTGGTAACCTTCTAGCGGGAGGCAAAGGAACTTGGCCACTTGCTAGATCAACAAAGGGATCTTAAAAATAAAAACAAATTTCAAATTAAAAGGATGATCTCTGTTGACTGGCTGAAGAAAAAAATTCTAGAATTATTTCATGAAGATTATGACTTTCAAAAATAAATTAGAAAATTAAGTTCATGACTGATATTAACCATTTTTTACTGCCTGCATATTTTCAAATTTCTTCATCACTTGCTTAAATATGCTCTTCACATTTATTTCCAGAAAATACAGACTACTTGTTTTATATTTATATTTTGCAGATATCTTGTTTAATTATAAGATTGTTGACAGTAAAAAGTTTCTAAATTTCATTTTCTGTCCCAATCCAACCTGTACAATATAGAAGTTCTAAAGTAAAAGCAAAAAACAAACAAACATACATAAAACCATGGGTTTGGATCCTCCCTGTAAGAGTATTATCAAATTACTTGATCTCTCTAGGCACTGGGCACACAAGATTTGTAAAACAGACCTGAAACTCTGGATGTGTGTGGATTAAATGAAGTTGTGTAAAATCTTCTGTACATACAAGGTGCTTATTTTACATTGGGCATCCTATGCTTAACATCATCGTTGTTAGTTGGCTCACATAATAGTCAATTTAATTGTTAAAATTATGCCATTTAGTAATTAACATTTGAATATACAGTAAAATGTGATAATTTACCACCTTGGCAGTCAGAGACAGGGCATCTGAAATAGTAAAAAATATGATATTTACTAACTGGAACTAAAGGGAGAAAAAGAGATTTTGTCAATGTTGCTGTATTAAATCATTAACACCATAAATCCAACTGGTTTAACATTCATAGTATTACATGGGTTTAAATTCTTAGAGAATTGATTCCCTTTTTGAGTAGAAGAACATTATATCTGAAAACCTCGGTTCACTAATAATTTATCTAACTATCATTGCCACCTCAGGCTCTGCAGCTTTCCTCTCATAGTACTTTTATGTTGTCGGTATCTCTGAAAGCACCATCAATTCTTCTGAGAACAGGGATCTCCGGGATCTTGTCTTACTCCTCATGTTTGAATTCTACCTCCTAACTCAAACATAGCACCTAGAACACTCTTGGCAAAGAGCTTGCACTTAATATTTACTTTTAACTACCACAAATAAATCCACACAAATTCAGATTGTTCACAAATTCAAAATCAGTGAAACCTGAATTGCTAATGTAAAGCAAAAATTGTAAATATTAAAGAAGACCTGATTGAATTTCACTGTTTTAACTTCCACTCCCATTAGACATTAATAATATGTAAGTATTTGATTATTTAAGATGAAAACATATGCTTAAATATTGCCTATTTTTATATTAGGTTTTGACTGGATAATGTAAGGCAGGATTTGAAGCCATTATCTTTTCACCTTTTTTGCAGTACAATAATTATCACCAGCTTTGCTGAGGACTTTCTGACTTAGACAAGGTTCTTTAACTTGTTTTCATTAATTTCAAGATTAAAATAACTCTTAGATTTTGAGCTTTCAATATTTGAAGAATTGATGGTCCAGCTCCATTATTTTCCCAGAAATATGTTTAGGAAGGAATGAGAAGATAAATCGCATGAGACAAATGTTGATCTTTCGGTTAGAAAAACCAAAGGAAACAAATACGGTGATTTCAGCATAAATTTTGAAATCTCCCAAATTTCAAAAACTAGATATTTCATAAAATTTACTTCAGGTTCTTGTAGACTCTAAATGCCCCTGATATAATATTAAATCAGAGGAAAGATTGTCTTTTACAATACATACACTTGCTTATTTCTTTACGGGAAATTTATAGGCTTGTCAAATACACTTAATGCTATTTCTAATCATCTATTTAAGGTTAAAAAGTAAACTCTGGAGACATTTCAGAGCCATAAATAGATAGACTACAAAATATACCACTCTACTATATTCTTTCATTAAACTATATTATTTTAAAAGTACTAGATACACTCAAAATATTATTATAAATAGCAAAAATACCTCCTTATGGTTCTATTTTGAATCATTATCATTTCTATCTTGCATCATATCCTAAGTTTGCTATTTGTCAGCCATAGGGTAAACTGGGCTCTCTAAAGCAAATTATAAAGTTGGAAGCATTCAGGCTTTAAAGGGAAAGACATTAGATATAACACAATTGCTACACAGAGTACAGTAATTACCAGTTGTCCCTGAAAAGAAAATTTTGTAAAGTAATAATGCTTTTCTAAAATAAATTCTTCAAAACTTCAAAAATTACAGAAAAATATTATATCCACAGGATTAAAACAAACTGAAATTATCACAGCCAATTTATCATTTATATAGTAATAAGCGTTTGAGAAATAAATGGATACATACAAAGGTATTAATCTGTTCTCAAAAGCAAAGTACTACTGCCTGTGATTTATAGTATAGCATTGCAAAACTGAAAATTTAATACTTATTTGGGAGATTATAAAAAACTAAGGAAAGACTGGGAGGAAATGGTTTGCTACTTAAAAAAGAAATGAAATATATATCAATAAAAATTACATTGCATACAAATATTTAATAATTATATATAATGCTCATGACATATTAACTGGAAAATGGTTATAAACAGCATGTACTATGAGAAATAAATTTTACATAAATGTGAACTTACATACTCATAGGCAAAAACAAAAACAAAAAAATAAAGAAGGATACCTAACAATGATTATCTTTAGTAGGAGGAAGTATGGGGTTTTTTTGTTTGTTCGTTTTTTTGAGAGAGTGTTGCTCTGTCACCCAGGCTGGAGTGGAGTGGTGCAATCTTGACTCACTGCAACCTCCGCCTCCTGGGTGTTCTCTTGCCTCGGCCTCCCAAGTAGCTGAGACTACAGGCACGAGTCACCAATCCAGCTAATTTTTATATTTTTGTAGAGTTGGAGGTTCGCCATGTTGGCCAGGCTGGTCTCAAATTCCTAAGCTCAAGCAATCTGCCTGCCTCAGCCTCCCAAAGTGCAGGGATTACAGGCATGAGCCACCATACGTGGCCCAGAATGTTTTTCTTAATTTTTTTTTCTTCACTATTTGAAATATTTTCCAAATTTTTACCAATTGTAAAAACAGAGGCAAATAAAATTAAATATTTAAAACAATGGCAAATTTCCTCCCTGCCTGTCCATAAACCACCTGGAAAATTTATCAATTATCCCCCAAATTTTAATAGAGTATATCAAAGCAGAAACTAATTGCTAGAAAAGGTTTGAAGAGCCATTTAGGTGAAGCAAAGTTCTCCCCTCTTTGCTGCCCTCATGCTTTAGCTCACGTTCTTATCTTAATGTGTAATGATCTATCATTGGTTTAAATCCCCCAGTGTCAGATAACTCACTACACTCAGGTAGAACAATTCGTAATGATTTAGGAAACTTCTTTGTAGGATGAATGCAATTTTCATTCTTAACATTTCCCATTGATCTTACTCCTACCTTCTGAAGTGACATGGAAGAAATATTGTAACCAAATATTGTAACCAAAGACAACTCTCATCTACATCCAAGGTCTTCTCTTCTCTGAGCCAATTCTCAGTTCTTTTAATCCACTCTAGTTTACTTTATCATCCTGGTTGCACTCTTTTGAGAATACCCCAGCCCAGCATATTTCAAACTTGAGAATATGCATCAGAATCACCAGGAAGGCTTGTGACCACTGGGTCCCATTCCCAGGGCTTCTGATGTATTAAGTCTTGAATTTTCATTTTAAAGCAAATCCCCAGGAGATGCTAATGTTGTGAATCTGGAGAACACCATTTGAGAACCGCTGCTCTAGCCCATTAATGCTTCAACGTCTGCCTGGTCTCCGCAAACGCTGAGCGCTGTGGAGGACTTCACTCCTCAGATTTGAATTCTGTGAGTTCAAGTCCCAAATGGCATGAGCTTCCTTATCATGACAATGCTTTATAAAGACTGTAGTCAACAAAACCCCTAAAACCTTTTCAACAATTGTTGCTAGTGATCTGGATTTTCTTCATATTTTACTCATGCATTTCTGGATCCAAGAATAAAACTTTCATTTATCTTTAATAAAGTCAATTTGGCTAGCTTTCAGAGTTTAACTGTGACTTTAGATAAGATCTTCAAATGAGATTACAGGTTAGAGAAACAGCAAAAGAAAGGTAGCATAAGCACTGACAAACACTGTATTTTGTGCACTGCACAAACACACCTAGTTATGGTTATGAGAAGGACTTAAATACAACCTTTGTTTTGTTTCTTGAGTCCTGGCCTGGCACAATGTAGACAGAGGGGTGTCTACTTCAATTCACCAGCAAAAAGGAAGTACTTTTTTGTAATATGGAAAAAAGCACACATACACTAGTGGTAGCCTTGGGATTGGAGACAAAAAAGTGTAAAGCTTTTTGGTTGAGGACTTCAGGTTTTGTTAACAAATGATTGGCCTGTCCAAAATTGATGGCTCATGTACAGCTATAGGCATTACTATTCTGCCAAAAGAAATCTTGTATGAAAGCCTAAAATAGAAAAAGAGATTAAAGAAGAACGAGAGCCCTGGCTCTGCTTGCCCTGCCCCCTTGATCCTACAAGAGTCCTGAGGCTCTTTTGCAGAGACATAGGAGACTGCAGTTTGACAATCACTACTATATAGAAGTCAATGAGCTATAAGGCTGAAAAGCTGAACCTGGCCCAACTGTGCAGGGCACTGAATGCTGGAATAAAAGTGTAGGCTTGATTAGGTACTTAGTATAATATCATAAGGAAATTCAACCTCTTTTCCTAAGACACCTATCATTTGTCTTTAATTAGAAATAATTATTTCCTCAGGAACAAATCTCAATAATGTTTAGAAAACATGTATCATTACACCAGACTAAGATTTCACAGACTGAACAATGAAAACAACAGCAAAATGCTCACAGAGTTGGTTAAATTTAGCAGTCCCTTTTATTTACCTTTTATAGTTCTAAAACTACTGAGTTAAACTTTAGCATTTGTAGCATATTCTTAATAAAGTCAATTCTTAGGGAGAAGAACTGCTATCGAGAATCTTTTACATTTTTTTAGACAGTATGATGTATTAAATACTTTGCAAAACAATACTCAAATGCTCATTTATCAGCCAAAAAAACCTTTATGCTCTATGATACTATGTAACAGCATTAAAATATTAAAATATTTCTTTTGAAAAGGAGGAAAGTTAATATACATGGCTTTAAATTTGAATCAAAATAATTGTCACAATGAAAGACATAAAGGTGCTGGGTGGTTGACGTCTGTAATCCTAACATTTTGGGAGGCTGAGGCGGGGGGATCACATAAGGTCAGGAGTTCGAGACTAGCCTGGCAAACAGGGTGAAACCCCATCTCTACTAAAAATATAAAAAATTAGCGGAGTGTAGTGTTGCACATCTATAATCCCAGCTACTTAGGGGGCGGAGGCAGGAGAATCACTTGAATCTTGGAGGCAGAGGTTGCAGTGAACTGAGATCGCACCCCTGCACACCAGCCTGGGCAACAGAGTGAGACCCTGTCCCCCAAACAAAAAAAAAAAGTCATAAAGGATCTGGTACCAGACTAGAAATTTGTCATGTAAATGACATGAAAGACTGGAAAAGGAAGAAAAAAAAGTTGCCTGTTTTTTTTTTTAGAAATACTTATTGTAAGAGATGTCAACATTATTTGGAACAGACTTAGAATATGTCCATGTATTAAGAGGGTCAAGAGAGAGTCAACAGGCTTGAAGAACATGGCCCTGACCCCCATGCTAGCCTGACACTCTAAGTTAAGGATAACTGTTGTTGAGCTCCCTGGCAGCCATGCAAACACAAAACAGGCAAATCTATAAAATAAGTAAAACAGTTTATAAAACTTGCATTTTAGCTAATAAGAGGGGACATTTTCATTTTAAACTAGTAATTTTTTGGCAGTTAATCCTGAGGGGTATCTTTATGAAGATTTTTACATAAAAGGAAATGAACAATTAAGACAAAATAAATAAAACCTGTTACAATTAATTCTCTTGACAAAAACAGGTAAAAGTGTGTAATTGTGTAAAATATTCTCTTCTATTATAGCTCTTTGAGAGCTTGACTTTATTTTTCAAAAATGCCACAACATCAAAGTTTCATCTACTGGGGCTTAAGTTACATATATAAAAGGTGACAGGGGAGCCAGAAACTATCCTGAACTTAGCATCAGGAAGTTTAAGTAACTAAGATTTAGAATGACTCATTGTTCTAAAAATTATGTTAAAGTCTATGTATAAGACAAAGTTTTGAATAAGTGAAAAAAAATAGCAAAATATAGCAGTGTTGACATGTAGCTATATGAATAAAAGCCTAAGCAGTTATGATATAGTTTGGCTCTGTGTCCCCACTCAAATTTCATTTTGGGTTGTAATCCCCACGTGTTAGGGAAGGAACTGGTGGGAGGTGACTGAATCATGGGGGTGGTTCCCCCATGCTGTTCTCATGATAGTGAGTGCTCATGAGATCTGGTTTTTCATGAATGTCTGGCATTTCCCCTACTTGCTCACTCTCTCTTGCACCTGCTGCCATGTAAGACGTGCCTTGCTTCCCCTTCACCTCTGCTGTGATTGTATGTTTTCTGAGGTCTCCCCAGCCACGAGGAACTGTGAGTCAATGGAATCTCTTTTCTTTATAAATTACCCAGTCTTGGGTAGTATCTTTATGGCACTGTGAAAACGGACTAATACACTATACTTCCTGCTTGGACTGGAATGGGTTATGACACTAGTGCTTTAATTGGCAGCATCCAGTGAACTCATGAGGTCCCAGAGGTCAGGAGGCATCTATCACAAGTGGGTAAACAGTGAATGGCTCAATCAATATTTACTGATGAAAAATTAAGCAGAAGATTATTCTTGAAAAATAAACCACTTTAAGAAAGTGAAGCTGTGTATTCAAGTTGTATGTCCATAACTTGTGTGTCTTATCAAAACTCTTCAAACTTTCTAAACTATCAAACCAAGTAAAGAAAAAAACACTAAGAAAAACTAATGGTAGACATGACTAATAATCAACTGAGGAAACTGATAAGGGAATCAGTTGGGAATAAAGATTCTCAAGTTTCCATGAGGCACATATGTAGCTAAAGGACAAACTGAGCACTTTTTAAAGATTTTCATGATTTATCTCATGTAGAAATGTAAGGAACTCATGAAAACAAGAATATCTTTACCCTATATTTTCCCAAACCAAGTCCAGGAGGCAAAGGTTTCAGGGCACAGTATCACTAATAGGACAGACTGGAACTGTTAATTAGTATCAGCAGATTCCACATAACAATTTATTTTCTTTTTCCTGATAATTCTAACTAATGCAGCAGATGGTTTATTAAGTCTTCATTTTTATTTCAGATCCTCTTTTGAAATTTTAAAATATAC